AAGAGAGTTGTTCTTTTGAAAAAGATGAAAAAAATGATTACGATTGGATATAGCAGCCGCACAAGAATGAGAAAACCATGGAGTAGAATTAGGCTTGACTTGAAACCAACGAGAAGGAATAAAAGCTTCCATTCCAGCCTGAATCCAGGAGGTTACGTAGGAGGCGCATTTGTCAGCTGAGAGAGAAAAAACATCAGCCCAAGGACCATCACGAAGAAAATCACGAAAGGAATCCCAGTCAACTTTAGGGTAGTAGTAGGTGGTGCGATGATAAGGTGAGCCCAAAAAAGAAGTACGAGAAGAAAGATTTATAGAGATCATTGCATGGTCAGAACCACCTAAGGGAGAAAAGGGAGAAACTAAACATAAGCTAGGGTCAGAGACAAGACATAAGTCAAGGAGTGAAGGTAAATGATTAGGGTTGTCACGAAAACGAGTCACAAAGTTAACTATCTGAGTAAGAGATTGAGAAATGCAGAAATTAAAGGCTTTAGTGCCAGCAGGATCAGTGGTGTTAAAGCCAAGCCATTCAGTGTGATGGGCATTAAAATCACCAACAACAACAATATTGGCAGAGGGATAAAGAGAGAGGGCATGGTCAATTTGATCAGAGATAACATCTAAAAGACTGCAATCATGGGAAGAAGGAGAACGATAAAGAACAAAGAGAAAGGTGATAGAGTGAAGAGGTGCTAGGCGAAAGCACATAAAAGAATGGTCAAAGGATTCGAACCTGATATCACGACAAATAGGGGAATTAATTCGTATGTATACCCCTAAACCTAGCATGTGATTATTGGAGTCTTTATGTGGCTCTTTATGTGGCCTTGACAATGCACACCAAAAGCATTAACAGGGACACCATCCATGCGCAACATGGCACTGTTAATACTCTGATATTTTGCAGCTGTTGATGGAATCAGCCTCTCTGAGAGCTACCACAGAGTTCGGGAAACCTTACTACCAGTCGGCCTCAGAACCATTAAACTGAGTTTTAGAGCTGTACCCTCATATGGAGATAACAGGAAGAGTTGCATAGCGTTTATCAAGGAGGCATAAGCAAAATTCTATGAGTAGAGTCAAGGAGATCCAGCATTCATCATCCTAGGCAGGAAACAATGTAACACAGGTTACATCTACGCCAGCCTAATAGATGAAGAAGGGGTTCGAGGCTGGTTAGCAGAATTTTTCTGCTTACCCCTAAAGTCTTTGCCTAGGAGGCCTTCTACAAGACAGTAGCTGGATGCAGTTAACATCTGCTTAAGATGAGTATTTTTATTGAGACACCATCTCTAGCCTTTACTCAACCAAGAGCCCCAAGGCAGGGGATGTTTAGCTGGATGCAGTTAACATCTGCCCAAGATGAGTGTTTTTATCGAGACACCATCTCTAGCCTTTACTCAACCAAGAGCCCCAAGGCAAGGGAATTTTTAGTCGGAGCTTATTTCTCCTAGCCTTTGCATAAGAAGAGCACACTCTGCAAGGCAGCAGGGCTTGTGGCAGGTGGTACTGGGTTACGTGATACCAGTAGCAAGATTGATCTCGATTATTCTGACCTGACCTGGAGTAGTTAAAAGGAGTTACTTCCCGCAACAGTACTTTGAGAAAACCAGGCATGACATTTTGGAAAAGTGCATTAGGAAAAACACTGCATCTAACAAAATACAGGAGTCTAATGCGAGTGTACGTTTTGTAGTTGGAGTAAGTAGTTAGTTACTGAGCTCACGCTGCATTACAGTATAAACAGAACACAAACAAACATAAATCAACTTACGGGTGAGTCAACACCGCGCCAGAGGTTCAGACAGAACACAAACATACATAAAAAACATAAAGTAACTTACGGGTGAGCGAACACCGCGCCAGAGGTTCAGACAGAACACAAACATACATAAAAAAACATAAAAAACATAAACATAAACATAAAGTAACTTACGGGTGAGCGAACACCGCGCCAGAGGTTCAGACAGAACACAGACATACATAAAGAACATAAAGTAACTTACGGGTGAGCGAACACCGCGCCAGAGGTTCAGACAGAACACACACATACATATAACGTAGATTACAGGTGAGCTAATACAGTAAATAAGGCACCTCCAACTATATAGGAAAAAAAAAAAAATTACTATAGGCATGACTGATATAAGATAGTACTGATGACAGGAAGAACACTCCTTCCAGCCTTTGCTTAGATAGCAAATCCTGCAAGGCAGCAGAATATGGAACAGGTTGCACTGGGTTACATGTTACCAGTAGCAGGATGATCATGAAGACCATACTCCTGACCTGACTTAAACTCCTGACCTGACTTACAAAGACATAGGACAACAAATCCACTTTCACCAACATTACTTGGTGCCAACTCATTATAACTGATATTGACATTTGGAATCTTAACAATATTTTTTGTTACTATTTTGGAGAAAATTTCTTCTTAACTTTTCATTTCTTCTTAACTTTTGCTGTATGGCTTTCACGTTTCTTTTAAATTTTTCTTTTGTTGGTGACATAAATCCTACAGATAGTGTTAAAGATTGATTATTTTGGTCAGTACTATAAATTGTGATTTCTGGCTGATAATTATATGTTCAACTATTTTCTTTGTTGGTGTCATTTATAGCAGGATAGGCATCAATATATATATATATTTTGACAAAGGATCAAATGTTGGTAGTGTTTGAATTGTGAAGAGTTTCCTTTTTGGTTATTTGCAGAAAATACAAAAACTGATGGCACAGCATTCAATTTTAAAATTTGTTTTTAATGATGATCAACACTTGCAATATTTTCATCTTGGATACATTAATTATAGTCTGATTCTAAAAAATAGTCGCTTCACATACAAGTATATTTAGTTGGGATAAAACTTTCACGTTTCAAAGCAACAACCCATCTGTAAAAGATTCATTTACACAATTCTGAATTTTTAATAGGAAATTTATGAAAAGTTTTTGTGCCGCCATATCTACTAGAATATCCATACGCAGTACATGAATTAACCATTGTGTGAAGAAACTATCAAAAGAAATAACTAATTTAAATGAATGCTTAAGCAAATTAACAGAAATTATAAGTTGTACCCAAAAGCCGGCCGGGCCCAAAAACCTAAAACCTGGTTTGGCCCAACCCAAACATAGAATCAATTTTTATTTATTTTACTAAATGTCTTTGGTTTTTTTACCAATAAAAAGGTAAACAAATGTATTATTTTTGCAAAATAAATACATTTGTTTACTTTTTTATTGGTTAAAGATTTACAAATTTTCAAAAAAGTTTGTAATTTTTTGGTGTTTAGAACTTTTTTTTACTAACTACTTCATTTTACTTAGCATGTAAAAGGAAGTAGTTAGTAAAAAAAATTTAGTCAAAAATTATTCAACGACAGCATCGCTAATTTATACGACAACACGTCTGATCTTTCGAATTTTGTTTGGCTTATACAGACGTTTTCTCACTTGATTGTTTTTTCAGGGCGGGAAGACTTTCTCATATGAATGAACTTTTATTAACTCATGGAAAAACACGCAATTGTTGACATTTGACACAACATTTAATTTTAGAGGGTTTTATATATCTGTTCTCCTAATGTGAGGAGTTTGTTTTACAAAAAAACCTGTAATACCAGCGATGTTTATGATTCACAAAAGAAAGTTACAAAGTACTCACAAAACTTTTGTTGATATTTTAAAAGAAAAACTAAGTAACCAATTATGTACTGGTAGTTGATGATGAAACATCATTTGATGTTTTTAAAGATGTGTTTCCAAAAATTAATAAGTTTATTTGCTGGAACCATATGTTAAAAGCAATGGTTAAAAAGCATAATGCTACTCTCCCACTGACGTTGCTGTGTACCTTGGATATATACGAACGCTTCTCCATTGTCCAACAAATGCAGCCTACTTAAAGGCGTATAGTTCTAAAGTGACGCACTCGAGTCAACCATTTCGAATATATTATAACAATACAACCCATAAACATGTACTAATATCGGTCGCACCAAAGTAGAACTAAAGAAATAGAATAACAACTAAATTTAAAATGTTTTAAATATATAATATTTGCAGCTTAATATAAAAAATAACTCGACTATCACGAGATAATAAAAGTTAGTTTTAAAAACGAACAAAAAAAAAACAAATAAGTAAACAAATAAAAAAACAATTAATTAAAATGTTAATGTTTTTTTAAGTATGATCATTTTTATTAAAAAAATGAATTGATAAGGACACATTGATAAAGAACATACACATAGAAAAATTGACATTTAAGTTCTTTTATTTGTAAGTACATCTGTGACACTTATCTGTGTCACAGCAGCTTATGAATCATTCTAATATTTTGCATGTTCTGCTGACTTAAATTTTGATGTTTTTTTTTGTTTTTTTTTTTAACATCTTCGCTCCCAACAAGGCTGCAACCCAGCAAGGAAAAATACGTATATTATACATATAAAATACGTCTTTGTCCTACTCTTCGATACGTATATTCTAATTCTTAAATGCAAATCTATAATACGTATTAATTAGATGATTACAATGCGTTGGTAATAGACGTATAATATACGTATTTAAAATACGTCTCAGATATCTATAATTTAAGTATTAAATGCAAATCTATAATTCGTATTAATTAGATAAATAAAATGCGTTGATAATAGACGTATATAAGACGTATTTAAAATTATTAGGTTTCTATAATTTCTGTATTAAATGCAAATCTGTTTATTTATAGATGTCAAATCTGTAATACATGTTCGCAAAATGAAGAGTAGATTGTTGTATTATCTACCGTTGTATAATTATTGCGGAAATAGATTAATTTCTATCTTCGCAGCCATTGTTTTACCACAAAAATTGTGTTGTACAACCGACGTTAATTTGTGCAACTATGCTAGACAACGTTTCCATTATAAAACAAAGTTGTTACAGAACTGTTGTACAACATTTCTACAACTATTGGAAACCAAGCTTAAAAGAACATTAAAATATTTTGAATTGTATAATATTATTGTTTATTTATTTAAAAAAAGTAACTATATACTATAACATAAACTATATACATATAATATAATATAAATGTTAGATATCAATGGAATGGTTCAATCTTCCTGGTGCATTCTTTAGTTTATTCCCGACAACTCTAAATAATTCTTTTTCACTAACGGTATACCTGTCTTGTAACGCTTCTAAAATAAGTTAAGCAAAAATATTTAAAATTAAAAATATCGTCAGCTTAATATATATATAGTTGAATACGACACTTAAGTGTCGCATTTATCATTTTTGAAAAAAATGACTATGTACAATATAAATTGTATCTCACCAAACATAACGTCCTTTAACTTAAGGTTTTCAAACGATATTTTGTTTTCTCTGCCTTTACGTTTACTCCCTTTAATGTTCATATTCGCCATCAGGTTTACGGAAAATAATCTAAAATCGAAAAAATATTAAAGGTAAGATCTGAAGGTGAGATCTGAATGTTGTTAAATTCATTCTTGTTTACCGCTTATTTTGACTGTTATTGTATAAAAAAATGTAATTTAAAAAAAAGCTGCAACAAATTGTTTTAAAACAAATCAATCAGAACGCATAAAAAGTAAGTAGTGATTTTGTTATTGTTTCGCAGTGGAAGCTATTAAAGTTCCACCACTTATATGGAACCATCAGGCCGTAATAGTCTTAAGAGAAGCAAGAAATATTTTATATAAGTGCAAGGAAGTGCAAGATAAATTATAATATTTGGACAGATGTCCAGAATTAAGAGTTGTTGTTTAAAAGAAGGGTACTATTCAGTAATTAAGTTTGAGTTAAGTAAGTGGTGGTCATGTTAGATTTAAGTACGTGTTGTTGCAGTGTTCTGTAAGTTATTGTGTTTTGTGTTTGTATTGTTCTAAACGTTAAAGTTTTATGTGTCATTTAGTGTTTTTATTGCTTTGAATCTGTGTGTTCGTAAATAATGGTTCTTAGTCTCGCTCAGTCTAGTCTTATCATGTTCTCTTTACATATCAGGTTCGCAACTAGAATAAGTGAGTATAGTCACTAGTGGAACATATTTAGACGTAAATGCCTTAGACGCATGCAAACGTGCAAAAATACCTTAAAAGCATGCAACCTTATAATAAAAATATTCGTTTTAAATTTAATTTATATACTCAAAGATCAACAAATACAATAATTCTGTTTATTTACATGCAACCCGAATACCTTCAGCCACAGATAAAAACAAAAGAATATCTAAGTAAACCTATCTGAATTTATCAGATAAACATTCAAAAACATTTAACAAAAATCAAAACAACTATTAACAATTGCTATCGTTGTGGTAAGCATAATGTGATACACAATTAACCTAATATAACACAATTACTCAATTCTTTAGATAAAAAGTACAACTTTAAAGCAGAAGTATTACAACAAACAACAAAAACAAACATTTAATATAAAGTGGAAACGCGCGCATGATTGTTTAAAGAAAGAAAATAAAAATACATCAGCGTTAAAATAAAATTCAAAATTATGTAGTATAATACCAGATTCTCGTCAGGAAGTGGACATTGTATTGATCCTTATAAAGATAATACTCTGGTATTTGACGTTTCGAATGTTTTAATGCTCATTTCTAGAAACTCCCGTCGGGGTAACATCCTCAAAACAAGCAAATAAAACCCACCTCTACGTCTGCGTCAAAGCCTTCTTATGTTGCAACATTTGAGAGGACATACTACTGCTCAGCCAAATACCCTAACTTGATCCATTTTAAACAAATTACGCTGATATACTTTTTAGAAAATTATTAAAACACGTTGCGCAAGAAGTAACATTAGAATACAAAAAACTTATAAGTTAAATTATTCCTAAATACTCAAGTAAAATTATTCCTAAATACTCAAGTACAAATTGAAGGCAAACAAACACACAACAAAATAAAAAACAATTAAGATAAAAGACTTACCATAATTTGATATTGAATAAGAATAAGTCTTGAAGGATATTTTGCGCAATGCCAATGAGCAGTTTAAAGAGCGCATGTAAATTGTGATATTATACACAGATGTTGTATGACGTAAAATTGCGGTTAATCAAAATATCCCTCAAGCGAAGCCTTAGTAAATAATAACGCTATTGGTCAAAAAATATCTTAATTGATTGGAGGATGAAAGTGTAAGGTGATTGGTTAATAATGTTGTGTTTAGAGAATAACTTAACTGGAGAATAGAGTAACAACCAAGAACGTAAAGATGTACAAAAAGCTGTCTATAAATCGAGTCAATAAATAAGAAGCAATAGCTGAATAACAACATTTATTTTTTACAATTAGTATTTATCTTTATTCAAATATATTCGACTAAAGGTCGTCTTCAAAAGACGTTCAGAATACACATTTTTTTCGCATGCCTTTGTGGTCTCAAATAAAAACTTCAAAAAAAAGTATTTAAAACATTTTTTAATGATGACTTTAGTCTTTTAAAGACGTTTTAAACACGTATTATATTTGTTTGCGAAAGATATCTTTCATATATAGAAATAATACGTATTTAATACGTCTCTTAAAGATAAGTTTTATATTCAGCTAAAACTCATCTTGAAAATTTGTTTTTTATGCGTATTTTTATCGTCTACTCTAGAAAAGATGTGAATAATATTAAAATAATACGTATTGAATACGTCTTGTCCTTGCTGGGAAGCAACCACTATTTAGAGTTGGAAGTTACTGGAAGAGAAAAGATGAAGATTGTAGAGCAAGATAATGATTGACAGACGACTTACAAGATTGCAAATTATATAAAACAAGAAAGCAACACGAAGAAAGCCATTTCCAAAAAAAATGATGTTCGAGGAAAAAAAAACTAGAAGATTAAGAGTTTTTGGAGCACTTAGGAACAGTCACAGAAAATGGATGAGACTTAATTGAATGACAAGTAATACGAGAATGATTTTTAGTAGATGACAAAAGAGACGCTAGCTTTTTAGAGCAGTATTTGTAGAAAAGAGTAAGAGAAGCAACATTACAATTGATTACATCGATGGTTGCAGTTTGGCTGCAAGAGCAAATCCAATTATATTTACAATGCGTTTTTACACCTTGTCTAAAAGAGAAAAGGCATCATTAGAAGATCAGCCCCAGATATAGAAACAGTATTCCACACAAAGCCAGATTTGAGATTTATAGAGATAGAGAATAAAATCCGGAGTAAGAAAGTATCGAGCTCGATAAAGAAATGCAACTTTAGCAGATGCTAATTTTACAGATGCTAATTCTGCAACGAATTTGATTGGTTTCCAAGAAAGATTGAAAGTAAGAGTTAATCCTAGAAGATTAAGATAAGATTAAGGGTAGATAACTCATCGAGTGCATTACAGTTCATAAATATAGGAAGATCTAATTATTGCGATAGCGATTGGCTAAAAAAAATTGAGTTTTATCTAAATTAAAGTTCACCAGCCACTGTGAGTCCTATGCTGTAGCCGAAGTGAGAACCTTTTCAAGCTCAAATGTTCCCTCCAAGCAACCATTTTTATCAAGACATGAATAAATGGTAGTATCATTAGCAAACAATGCCACCTTAGATGTGAGTATATTTGGATTATCGTTAATGTAAATTCAAAATAGTATAGGTTCAAGGATTGAAACTTGAGTAAACCCTGAAGTTAAAAGATATGAAGAAGAGTGCTGTCTATCGAGGACGACTTTCATATACGATTAGAAAGGAAGGATTCAATAATCTTAAAGATGTTACCAGATTCACCCTACAAAGAAAGTATATGGAGAAGATCAGCATGCTAAACTTTATCCAAAGCTTTAGAAATCAAATATGGAATAGTTAAGGCCATTAAGAGCGATGGCCTTAACACGTCCACTTTTATCTAATACACGATGAAACCTATCGGTTATTACTGCTAGCAAATCAGCTGTAGAACGAGAAGATCAAAATCCATATTGATGATCAGAAAGTTAATTATCAGATTCAAGATGAGAGATTATTTGTTTTTTAATTAAAGATTCAAAAACTTTGCTTATGATAGGAAGAAGACTAATGGAACGGTAGTTATGCTCCTCCACTTTGAACCTCATGTCATGAGCCTTGACAGAAAAAGACAAATTGCAATTTTGCAATAACTTCGAAAATCAAAAACATTTTATTTAAACAACCTATAAGTAATTGTATAACTTCATTGCATTAAGATAAATACAAACTTTAAAACTGAAGATAAACATAGAATTTAAAACTTACAAAATGTGATAAGCTATCCCAGTAAACACATAAACGTCTTTTAAACGTCAAGACAACGTTTCGACAGAACGCTCAGATTTAGTCGACTATCCGTTTAGAATGCGGATATGGCGCAGATTGTGGTTAGAGCGCTGGTTAGAACGATTGCTGAGAGCGTGGTTAGAGCGCTTGCTTTATAAGCAGGAAACCCAGGTTCAAAACGAGCTTTGGACATATTTTCGCATCACGGTAAGGAAGGAGGCGTGAACTTCCTGGTTAAACGCACTTCTGCGGTGCTCTGTGACAAGACCGTTAGGTCTTCCTGGGGCACCTAAATAACAAATAAAATAAATAAATAAAATGAAATTTAGAATGGGTAGATAACTCATCGAGTACATTACAGTTGATATGGACGTTTGGAACAAACGTCCAAATGAATTCTAACGTATTTTAGACGTCAATTCAAGGATTATTATACGTATATAAAACGTTTAGATTTTGTTTAAATTATGTTTAAATCTAGTCTAATTAACGTATATAAAGCGTTTAGATTTAGTTTTATTAAACTTTTAGATCTTGTCTAATAATTTCTTTGATTTAGTTAACATAATTTCAATTTGTTTAAGTTTTAAAACATAAGTTAAAATTGCGTTATAACTTTATAAATTTATATTAGTAATAAGAGCTATATAGGTAGGATCAACGCATACTTTAACAACAAATAAAATTACTAGAAAGTGTTATTTTACCAAAAAAAATCTCAATTTGTTCAAGGCTCAATTATCTCTACTACTTTGGGAGCATATTGACTCAAAGCGCACTTGGAATATAATAAAAGAGTTAACTGGAAAATCGAATAAATGTTCAAACTCCATGCCAAACACTAATAATTTTGAAAACAAAATTATTTCCGAACCTAGTAAAATTACAAAAAAATTTAATAAATTCTACACAGAAATTGGAAAAAAACTTTCAAACAAAATTCCAACTACTGATAACTCATTTATAGATATTTTATCCACTAGGCACGATCTAAATTAAACAATGAATTATCGATTGAACTAATTATCGAATTATCGATTGAACTAACCTTCGAGGAGTTTGACATTGCTTTTAAATCTCTTAAAAGTAATAAAGCTACTGGCTTCAAAGAAATAAATAGTAACATAATTATAGATTGCTACAAAAACCTAAAGGATATATTTTTCAAAATTTTTAAAACATCTTTAAAACAAGGGATTTTTCTGGACAAATTGAAAATTGCAAAGGTTATTCCAATCTACAAAAATGTTGACGAAGCAGAAGTGTGCAACTACCGTCTCATTTCTATTCTCCTAGCTTATATAAATATTTTAATGATATTAACATATAAATATGTTAATGATATTAACATATAAATATTTTAATGATAATAAACTGTTAAATAATAATCAATTTGGTTTTAAAATGCATTTTAACGGAACACGCAATTATTCAATTTGCCCGGCAAATCTCTGAGTTTTTCAATAGAAAGCAATACACATTGCTTTCTATAGACAGGTGTATCAAAAAGACAGGTGTATCAAAAAGACAGGTGTATCAAAAAGACAGGTGTATCAAAAAGACAGGTGTATCAAAAGCATTTGATACCGTCGATTTTGAAATTTTACTGCAAAGGCTCATTTATTATGGGATAAATAACAATCTTCTAAATTGGTATAAAAGCTATTTAACAAATAGAAAACAATTTGTCCCCGTCAATAACAGACGCCAAAACGTAATGACTAAAATAACTTGCGGTGTTCCTCAAGGCTCGATTCTTGGGCTTCTTCTTTTTTTAATTTATGTAAATGATATAAATAAAGTATCAAACTTAAAAAACATCATGTTTGCTGATGATACAAATTTATTTGCATCAAACCGTAGCATTACGAAACTGTTCTACAAAATAAATAAAGATCTTAAGCTATCTTTATTCATTTTGTAGAACAAAATGAATAAAGCTATCTTAAGCTAAGACCGAAAATGCCCAGATTTGAATTTCCTGACAGCAGTTACCTATATTTAGATATACAAAATGTCCGATATAATGTAAAAGCCATCGAAAAACCCCATGACCACCCTTGATAACTCATAAAATAACCACTTATGTGGTCATAACCACTCCAAAATTAAAATAGAGCCCAAAAATGAAATTCTTCGTCCCAAAAACCGCTATAAACATGTATCATATGGCTATATTTAAACCATAAATAGTTTAGCCATTTTTAGACAATTTTGACTTACTGCGCATTGTGTTATTATTAAAACTATTGTTATCATTGAAATTATTGCAATATATATTCATTTTATTTTTATGCTTTTCAAGTTCAAAAAGTATATTTACTAAAGTAAACTTTAACAATGAGCGACTGATAATCAGATCAGCATTCATATAGCCTTTTCTCTTCTCACATCAGAAATACTAAAATATAAAAGCTGCTGCTAATGGAATATTTAGAATGATGACAAATAGCTTTAATAACATTGGCATTTTACAATTTTCGAACCAAAAATTATAAAAAGGATACACAGATATAGCAAGTTCTCTTCGATTTGCTTAATAAAGTACCATTTTTCTTTTTTGATTTCAAGTACATGAAGTTGTAAATTGTTTTTTTTTTTTGTTTTTTATTCTTTTTTCTTTTTTAATATAACATAAGAATTTTACAACTTCGTGCTTCATAAAAAAAAGTAAGTAAAAACAGATAGGGA